GCTCTTTTAATGGGAAGGGGATCTCACAGACCGCCTTCCATGGCATTAAGAGAGGATAGCAATGGATTTCTCTCCACTCCGGAGATAGAGGCCGTGGCGGTGACGCTCAACCAGCAGAGCAAGGCGGATGGCATTCCAAAGCGCGCCAAACAGCTGCACACCCCTGCAGCATTTACGGAGCCCGTGCCAACCTCAGTGGCCACTGGCCACTCTATGCTTTAAGACGGGAATGGCAAGCAGAGCCTAATCCCGCACATGGCGCACCCCGAGACCTATGGTTCCAAGGGGGTTCATCGAGCTAGGCGTGATTATGCCGATAATGCTCAAGGGGATGAGGAAGATGACTACCTCACAGGGTGTCTGTTGTGGGGAGCGGAAAAGGAAGGAGTTTGTAAGCCGCTCTGAGACTCCTCTGGGTAGTAAGGGGCGGGGTATAAATCCAATCTCTTCATCTCTTCTTCTTCTTCTCTTCCTTGTAATTTTGTAAAACATGATCTTTACTAAGTGTTCTAGTTACTCATGTCACAGTGTTTGTTGTATTTTCCACGTGGATATTATTACAGCAGTCAAGCAAAAGAGACAGCTTTTGTTGGGTCAAACGTTCACATGGTAGCTGGGGATGCCAAGTATGGATGGGGGAATTCCTGGATATATGGGGGTGTTGGGTGGAGAAGACAGAGTCTGGGGAGGAGAGGGAGTTCAGCATGGATGTGAAGCCAGAGAGCCCGCTCTCTGAAGCTGATAGTTCCTCCAGTGGTATTGATAGGGTTGCCAGCTCCTTTCTGGCCAACGGCAGGGGATTGTGGGGGGATTTACTGGGAGCAGGAAGGAGTCCCAACCGATGTGCAGCAATGCACATATGTCATTGCCCATGTGACCCAGAAGTGATGTTGTCATGTCGAGGACATTGGAGTGATACTCTGGTATATGGGCAAAAAATTCTATGGTAGTAGCCAAATTTACCACAGAGTTTTTGCCCAAATACCAGAGTGTCACTTCAACATCCCCAATGTGATCACATCATCATGTCAGGGACATTGGGGTAACACTCTGGTACTTGGGCAAAAACTCTGTGGTAAATTTGGCTACTACCATAGAATTTTTTGCCCATATACCAGAGTATCACTCCAATGTCCTCGACATGACAACGTCACTTCTGGGTCATGTGGGCAGTGACATAGGCACATTGCTGCATGTTGGTTGGATCTCCTTTTTCTGGGTACGTTCCCCCCACTAGCCAACTGATCGGCGGTGAGGTGGTGGGCGGGCCTGGTAGCGGGGGACTCCTGCCTCCACCAGGGAGTCTGGCAACCCTAGGTAGTGAAGTCTGGAAATCAGTTGTAATTGTGAGAGAACTTCAGGCCTCACCTCGAGGTCAGTAACCCTAACTGTGGCCCAGGGATGACATAATGGTCACCAAACTCTAAACCTTCGTTAAGCTACTGGGAATGTCTACTTCCAAATGTAAATTCTTTCCTCACATAATTAAGAGATCTCTGGTTTGTTTGTATTTGCAATGGACTGCTGAGAGCATGTAAAAAGGCACTTCAGTAGTCAAAGAGTTTACATTCAGGCAAGATACGGCAACTAAACTGGTTTGAAACCAAGTGTTGCTAACAGTGTTGTCTGATATGACTACTTAAGTGGGGCCTGCCAAGAAGATACTCTGCGTGGAGGAGATTCATCTCCAGTTCTGAACCCTGTCCTTCGGCGTCTCATCAGTTCCCTGGGTGTTTACAAAGATCCTGATTCTTCCGGTCGTTTGTCTTCAAGAACAAAGGCTTCACATTCCTGGTGAACATGCAGTTGGAAAGTGCACTGAAAGTGAATAGAAATTGGATTCTTTAGTGTGTGCGACCGCAGCCTTAGAGTACAATTATATGCCGTGTTACTCCAGACTAATCCTACTGATTTCAATGAACTTAGTCTGTAAAAAGTATATACAAGAAGATAAGGCCCCTGTCGGATCAAACCAATGGTCCATCTAGTCCAGCATCCTGTCTCACACAGTGGATGACTAGTTCCTCTGGAGGGCCAACAACAGGGCACAGAGGCCAAGGCCTTCCCCTGATAAGAACATCAGAGGACCCCTGATCTGATCCAGCAGGCAACATCAGGGGAAGGCCTTGACCTCTATGCCCTGTTGTTCAGCATCCAGAGGAACTAGTTCCTTCAAAGAATATACGCACACAAGAGGAGCCCTACTGGATCAGACCAATGTTCCATTTAGTCCAGCATCCTGACTCACCCAGTGGCCAACTAGTTCCTCTGGATGCTGAATGGCAGGGCATAGAGGCTGAGGCCTTCCCCTAATGTTGCCTCCTGTAGGACAGATGGTCCATAGCAGAAAGGAAGCTGCCATTCAATCTGGAGCTTCGAGCCATTACGCGGGCCCTTCAACACTTCACCCCTCGGATCAGGGGAAACCACATCCTTGTTCGGATGGACAACATCTCAGCGAAGGCAAACGGGGGTTTCAGGTCCTTAGCCTTACACCAGGTCCATCTAGTCCAGCATCTTGACTCACAAAAGTTATAATTTTGTAAACCTCCATCATGTTCATCCTCTCTGCATAGAATTTTACTGTTAGAAAAGGCTGCTTTTTCTTAATATCCAAGCAGGACAAGTGCCTGCTAAAATTTTGGCATGTCCGGCAATGTAAATTGACTGGAGCTGAGCAAGGAAAAAAAAGTTGGCCACCCTAATTTGGTAGCCATACTGAAAGGCTGCAATCCCTCTTTCTAATAGACATTGGAATGCCATGCTGTTTTATCTTCCTGATTAATGTATTCAGGGCTCTTTTTGTAGAAAAAGCCCAGCAGGAACTCGTTAGCATAATAGGCCACACCCAACAGCAGGAACTCATTAGCATAATAGGCCACACCCCTGACAGCACAGCTCATTAGCACATTAGGCCGCACCCCCATGTTACCAGCAGTGTGGTTATCCAGCCACACCCACCTTTTCCTTCTTATTCTGCTGACCTTGTTTGTGGTCAAAACCCAGGGCTTTTTTTGTAGCAGGAACTCCTTTGCATGTTAGGCCACACACCCCGAATGTAGCCAATCCTAATGAGTTCTTGCTGTTGGGTGTGGTCTATTATGCTAATGAGTTCCTGCTGGGCGTGGCCAACTTGGGAGCCAGCCGGAACTCCGTTCCTGTGCGTTCCTGCCCCAAAATAGCCCTGAATGTATCCATCCATCAATCCATCTTCCATGGGTTTATGAAAAGAAATGCCATATATTTTAAACAATCAGAAAACTGAACAGCACTTGATTTTCAAACCTCTAATGAGATGTTACTATTACTAATGACATGCTACGGGCATATCCAAAAGAACAAAGCTCTGACTGACTACAGTTCAAGTTTGCCAGTTAGACAGAATGGCTCCAATTTAGATGGCGAAGGCTGGACTCCTAAGGATGCTTTCCTGGGAGTAAGCCCCATTGAACAAAATAGGACTTTCTTCTGAGGAAACCTAATCAGGATTGCTCCCTGTATGTACTGTGCCAAGTGCAATTGTTTGGGCTGGATCCACCCAGTGTTTGCAGTGGTGAAAAAGGGAAGAATAGTCCTCTTGGAACAGCCAAAATAGTTTTGTTCGGGATCATGAGGTCTGTGTGGACAAAAGTCCTCTGGAACAGGGTATGTAGTAATGAAAAGAACTGGGTGAGAGACTGTGTAAAAGTGCAGTTCTGTGGCATGTTTCTGACACTTCTTGTTCCATTCTACAGAGGTGACGGTAGTGGGCAATTCTGCATCTAGCAGTTGCTCCACATTTTCTCAGCTGGGAGGAAAAAGTGCAGCTCAGAACCACATTCAGATACCTCGGGGCAACGCTGTGCAGACTGCAAAGTCACCCCTGATTGGCCATGAAATAGCCATAAATCTATGCAGAAAGTACCAAAAATCCGAGAATCACAAGAAGTGAAAGTGGCATGGAGTGTGGGGGCCACCATAAAACCTCATGATCAAAGAAAGTGAAAGCAGCATGCAATGCAGAGGGGAATTTCGGTTCCAACGTGGTTTGGTAAAACAAGTGAGGGAAACAGCCAATGCAGAATCAGCCAATGACTAGCTCCACCATGGAATGACTAGCTCCACATCCCATTCTGTCTTGTTCTTTTGGCTCCAAGAACAGATACAGACCCAACCCTCTTACAGGCAATCACCACAGCTAAATATTTAGCAACTGCTGAGGTAGTTTTTCAGTTCTCATATACAAGGAAAAACTGGATGATTTTTTTTGAGATGGTAAATTCACAGAACCTATGAAGGTAGAGGAGAAATATCTCTCTCTCAAATCAAACCAAATTTCACACACCAATAA